TTGAGTCCCAGACCTGGTGGCTTGCTTTCTCACTTTCTCTCTCACTCTATCCCTCTATGGTCAAATAAAAATAAATAAATAAATAAATGAATAAACGGATAAAAACAAAATAATATAAAAAAAACGCACAGGGGCAGGAGCAGCAGATGGTATAGTGGTTAGGCCATGAACTCCCACAGGGACAACCACAGTGGAAGTCCCTACCTGGTGGCTTAAGACTCACGGTGGCTGTGCGTGCCCAAGATCCAGGAAGGAGGATGGAGAAGGGATGGCGGTGTGGCGATCCCTCCTCTGGGGGGTGATTTCTCCCTCTCCCTCTCACTATCTCTGTCTCTCCCAGGTGAATGCACCTATCCTAAGGCAGAAACTTCAAAATTAAAGAGGGGAAAAAAAAATAAAAATAAAAATAAATAATTTTAAAAAGAGGGGGAGGGGCCGGCAGGTGGTTAAAGGCCCTGGATTCTCACATGGCCACCCGCAGTTCGAGTCCTGGACATGGCGGCTTGCTTTCTTGCCCCCCCCCCGCCTTTCTCTGGTCAAAGTTAAAATAATAATCTTAATAATAACAAATGGAGTGAAATAAAGAAATAATTCTTTTAAACAAATGAAAGAGCGGGCCAGCAGGTGGTGTGGTGGTTAACGCACTGGACTCCAACATGGTTGACCTGACCATGGTTCAAGTCCTGCACCTGGTGGCTTGCTTTCTCACTTTCCTTCTCGCTCTGGTGAGCACATATGCCCAGTAGCAGAACTTTTAAAAATAATAATGAAATAAATCATTTTTAAAAAGAAAAAAAAACATGGGACCAGCAGTTAGCGTAATGGCTGTGTCGCTGGACTCCCATGTAGTCGATTGCAGTTCGAGTCCCAGACCCGGTGGCTTAAACTCACGCCGGGCATGTGTGCATGCGTGCCCAAGATCCCGAGAGGAGAATGGAGGAGAAGGGATTGCGGCATGGCCATCTCCCTTGGGAGGTGATTTCTCACTTTCTGTCTCTCTGTCTCTGTCTAGCGAGTGCACGTGCCCTATAGCAAAAACCTCTCCAAAAAAATTTTAAGAAACTAAAAACAAAAAAAAAAGGAAAGAAAAGAGAGAGAGAGAAAAAAAACCCACCAAGTGTGCAAGCCAAAATCACAAGAGAACAGAAGATTTTTCACCTTCCTCCCTCTCCGTCTCTACCAACACCGCATGTATCCAGTAATCGAACTCCTGGAGCTGCAAGGGCCCTGCAGCCAGGGTCAGAGCCAGGACCAGGATTCCGCATGGCAGGTCAGCATAGTGTTTATTACCAGGAGATCACCAGTGCCCCCCTGGGCACCAAAGAGTTTTGACACAAATGACTAGAAGGCACTGGTTTCAACTTGCTCCCACCCTGCAGCCTGGCATGGCAGGAGACGCCATCACCCACTCCCAGAAGCCCTGCCCCGCCCCTCCCCGGGCCCCGCCTCTCCACCAGACCACGCCCCTCCACCAGGCCCCACCCTTCAAGACCACGCCCTTCCACAGGCCCGCCCCTCCTCTGGGCCCCGCCCGTCCTCAAGACCACACCCTCTACCAGGCCCCACCCACAAAGACCACGCCCACAAGAGGCCCCGCCCCTCCAGGGCCGCAGCTGAGCTGAGCTGCTGAAGGTCCCAAATGCCCTGCACCCTGGAGGTGGCCGAGATGGGGTGGGGTGCAGAAGTCAGTGTCTGCGGTTGGCAGGGGGGGAAGGG